TCTTTTTCTCTTTTCCAGGCTGGGCATGCTATGGAGTATGCGGGTAGACTACCTTCGCAGTTAGCACAGAAGACCTCGTCATGACTACATTCATCAGCACTGTGGCCGTTCCTGCCACACTTGAAACAACGCCTCGGGCTTGGAGTGAAGAGTCGGAAATGGAGTTTTACATAGCCAGTTTCGAGAGTGTCAGGTAAAGTGGTTGAGTTGAAGGTGAGTATCAAGTGCTTTGTTGCTATTTCATTGTTGTTACGTCTGATTTTGATACGCTGGACATGTATATCACCTTGGTCCTTCCATCCATCAAAGAGCTCTTCTTCCCTCAGTGTCATCAAATCTTCGTCCGATACCACGCCCTTCACTGTATTCATGGTACGGTGAGCGCTCACAGAGACGGGGATGTTACCAAAGGCTACGAGGTGCGAGAGTTTATTGTACTGTTCCTTGTCTTTTATTTCGAGAAGCAGATCTCCACTTGCCATCTTCGTGGCCTTATAACCAGTTCCAATGGTCTCTCTCGAGCACTTGGCCACAAGGAAAGGTGAGATTGCTCTAGCTTTTGTAGATGATTGTTCGCAGTGAAGGACATGGTATTTTGGGAAAGTTTCTCTGTTTTTGGGCCAAAGTAGTAATGTTGCGTCGGTGCGTACCCTTTTCGAAGCACGATCAGTTAAAGAGGGGGTCGAGGATCCCATGAGAAAATGTGTATTTTTCGATAACGGCACCTACCACCCACCACGGAGTCCAACGAGGGGACATGGCAGAGCATGTGGGCATGTCTGCGCAACGCCAGCAGTACGCAGTTACTATAACCCAATATGGTTTACCCTAGTTTGGATAGCCACACAAGGTTAACCCTTGCCGCCAGGGAAAATAGAAGTAAATTGAAGAGAGGAGAGATCAGGAAAGATTGAAAGTAAGAGGGAAAGACGAAGATGAAGAGAGGCAGAGACAGGAAAAAGCGACTGCCGGTTTCCCCTGGGTGGGTCAGCCCAGGGGTGCCGTCTACGTGAAGCCGGGGCCAAAGGGGTGTGTTGCCTCTTCCGGGGGGCCTCAGCGTCGGCTCAACTCATCACCCAGCGTCGGCTCAACCCCCAGGATTACCTTTTCCCCGGACACGGCTCGCCACGCCCGGCTAGGCGTGGGAGGGAGCCAAAACTCCCCCATTAGCTCGGGTCCGTGGTGTCGCTACACACCAAACGCCTACTTGCGCAGGCGCCCCTGCGGGGACAACTTTGGCTGCCGGGCATTGCTGCGCGACCGGGCGCAGAGCGTGGGAAAGGGACTGGCATCGTGTTACATGTCACTGCGTGCGCTGGCGAAAAACCCTCCCGTATGTGTGCGTGTGGTGCGCGGGGCTTCTCGATCGGTAGAGTTTATTATTCGGTGTTTAGTTTTAAATGTGCCTGCACTCTGTGCTCCACCAGTGTGTTCTGTCAGTGCTGATTATTGCGAAGGTGCACTATCCTGAAGACTGGACCTGCGGATTCATATTGTGGAGCAGTCTAAATGAAATAGTAAGTACCGCTTTCACGTTGTTCCGTTCAGCGCTTTGTTAACTGCGTGAGTACGACAATAAGGCCTTCAAACAAGTTTGTTTTCAACTAGTTGGTGACAATTGAGCATTTGCTTAAGTAGCGAAAATATTTTTCCGAACTGTCTTACGGGGATGATGGCGAAGTGTGATTGTGGGCAAGTTTTCTTGTTTGTTTGTTAAGATTGTTTGGAGTAAATAGCAGAGTGAGCATGCGCCGCTGAGGTTCAGCGAAAAAATTGAACAGATTTTTGCGGTGCCCTTTATTTGCAGCCGTTTTTAACGGGGCCCTCTCGTGCTGCAAATCAATTTTAGTTTACTAATTATTACATCAGTAAGGACAGCACCTGTTAGCTCTAAGCATCTACCGTATGTAAGACGCGTATGCTTGGACATGTCTGTAGTTCATTTACTTTCTTTTTTTCTTATTGAACAAAAATACCGAGAACGGAAAACAAGGGCGTAGTGTCCATGTCGTTATTTCGGTTCTTATTCGGTTGTGCGGTAACACTACCGTGATAACTCGGTTTGATGCATCGGGTGACAACACAGAATATTCCTTCGCGTTAGGTGCACCTCGCGAAGTTTGCCTACTTGCTAATACATTCAATTTCGTTAAATTTGTCTGCACCGGTGTTTTCGTTCACCCGCAACGTAGCCTGACACTGCCGACAGCCGTGCCTATGTAGCGGATCGAGCACTGAAGCTGGACTTTTGTTTGAACAGACCTTTAGTCTGTGTGTGTGGTCGAATAGCCTACTTGAACAGCGCAAACGCTTGTTTGAACAAAACTGTTAACGTTCGAGCACATTTTATTCAGATTGTTTCCATCATGTGTAAATTTCAAAGTATTTTTGGTATTCAGAGTTTTATTGGCATCGCCTCCCTTAGGCGTTTAACTTCGCTAAGTACTTCAGTTGTTAAGGGTATTTTCGCTATGTGAAGCGCATTATTAGTTTTTTGTTGCACAAATACACTAATGTTATACGTACCTTAATCTAAGCATGTGTTGCAGCCAAAATGTAAGACTGGGCAGCATATCTATCAGGGAACACAACACGCACAGCCACTGAACAGCCTACGCTGCATCGGGAATGAGTTATGCTTTCTCAGCCTACCAACATGATTGAAACAAATGGCCCTAATTTAGCAGTATGCAATGGTGATTGATTGAAAGTAACAGGGTTACATTATTCCAAATTTCCCAGTCAATTTTGCGACTATGCCAACTATGTTTGAAAAAAAAAATTGGACTGATTTATTGCACTGAAAACAGTGAACTGCCTGAATATTTCGGAGAGAAAAAAACTTTTTGGTCACGTGGTTGCCTTTTAGAACTTCCCAGAATTTCGTTTGAGGGTTGTTTGTGAAAAAAAAATATTTTACAAGTACCGCTCCTTTTTTATACCAAGTTTTGTACATGTTAAGTAAAGGGGCCTATGTAAGGCGTTCGAAACTCAGTAACACTAATACAATTTTTCGGCCATATACGTCTGCAAGAATCTAGCCAAAATGTGTGATGTTTTCATTTTCTCATCGCGATACTGCACTTTGTATGAATATCTGAGCTGTGACTACTTACTTCACAGAAAAGATATTTTGATGAAAAATCATTTTAAGACATCTTCAGCTGTTAGCCTCTACCAGATAAGATCACTCATTTCACCGAATTGTCATTTTTGTCCATATTGAGACGCAAGTTGCACCATGTCGTGGTCCAATGAAAAGTCACCTTTTACCTAAATGGAAAGCAAAAAACAGTTCTTTGTATGTGACAAGTTTCATCAATACAATTTCTATTTCAAGGGATAAAATAATTTTTGAGTTTTCTCATCAACGGCGATGGTGAACTTGGAAATTCAAAAATTATTTAGGGGCAAATATCTTGAGCCCGTGGGTCGTTCCCTCCTCTGTAGTCGTACTACTATTATGTAGCCACTTTATGTGTTGCACAACAGATAGCGTTAGTGGTTTTCACAGCATATACATGGACAAAATGATGATTCGTCGGGCGAATCGTTCGACCGTACATTTGTGCTTTCGTCCGTTTGTCTGTGCATTCGTCCATCCGGGCTTCCGTGTGTCGGCCTTTCCGTAAGTCCGTCCGTCTTTCTGTCCGTCCATACTTGCGTCAGACTGTGTGCATCCGTTTGTGCGTCCGGACGGACGAACGCTACGCCCCACTTAACATCCTTCACTCCGTGGATATGCTGCGATCTTTTTCTCAAAACATAAATTGCTATGACAAAATTTGGCACATGAAAAGAACTGTTTATTTGCTTTCGATTTAGGTACAAAGCCTATGTTAATTCAACCACCACAAGGTGCAAGTTGCGTCTCATTGTAGACAAAAAACTATTTTGGATTTCGCGATTTTCCTCGTAAAGTTTGACAGCTTGAGAGGTCTAAAATATTTTTTCCTCCAAATATACCTTATATTGTTTAAAGATTCACTCCTCAGATATTCATTCAACGTGCAGTATTTATATAGAAAAATACAAATATAGAAAATGCAGATATAACACATTTTGGGTAAATTATTTGAGGCGTTTGTGGTCGAAAAATGGTAATAATATTACTGAGCTTCGAACGCTTTACGCAAGCCCTTCACTTAAATTGTAGACAAAATTTGGCAAAGAAGAAGAGGAGGTACTTAAGAAATAGTTTTTTTCACAAACACCCAGACGAGATTCCGGGAAGTTTAGGAGGCAGCCATGTGACCAAAAAATTATTTGTCTGTCAAATGTTCTAGCAGTTACCTTTTTAATGCAGTAAATCAGCGCGATTTTTTTAATACATTTGAGATGGTCGCCAAAATAACTAGGACGTTTGACGTGGAATGACCCAATAGCCAATTCTTCCATTATAAAATCGTGTCAATGTGAGCCAGTTCAAGAACAGTAGTACCATTGGCATTTAATACGTAAGTATGAGGTACTTAATTTTGCAAGTTACCTGCACTGAATACCTTCTCAATGCGCATACCACCATGTATGCTCAGTGGCATTGTGCTTTTGTGCAATACAGATAAAATATGTATATGTTGTTGCCCATCATACTGCATTCCTTTCAATAAACTTATCGAATGAGTACCATGGTAGATCTGCAGATATACACATGCAGCTGTGTTGATGCATACTTAAGCATAGAACTTGACATTAATTTATATTGGTCGTTGCATGCAGCTAATGGAACATTATCAACTTCGAGCAGCACCTTTTTATTTTCCTGCGCGATCAAGCTGAAAGGGTAAAGTGAGGTTCCTATCTACGGCCCGAAAGGTATAATGATTCTGCCACAGCGCGCTTTTTATGGCGTTTATTGCTCAGCATACCTTTCCTAGCATTTCTCACTGCAGTGGAGCCCGATGCCACTGAATATGATTGCTATGCACTCAATTTATACTTTTACACATAAGAAAGTAGTTAGTTGTGCAGGGTGCACACTGTATGTTGCACTCTTTGTGAAATTTGCGCAGAGGCGGTGTCGTACCCAATGAAGTGATAACTGAGGGGCGACTATTGCTAGTTGAAAACTTTTCCCTTTGTGAAATTTCGGTCATTGTTCCTTGTGTATTTGAGGTTTCCGGGATTGAATTTTATGTACAGAAAGAACGGCTTCGCCCCACTTTTCTCGAAGGCACCAAACATCTCAGCAGTTGAAGATAATTGTGCCAGCAGCAGTTACGAACTGTGGTTTTGCAGTTAAAAGTACACCCTGACATTACATTATTACAACCACAATTACACTACCTTGTCGAATGTTCTAATTTCTTGAAGTCGAAATTTATACAGCGAGATATAATAGGTTGTAAATGTGACTCCAGAAACTAACTTACTCTTTCTATGTGTTTTTTCTATTGTATAGGTGTCAATCGACGCCATACCTCTCAGTCTGTTGCCCGACATTACACTGAAACAATGAATTTCTAGTATAGAGAGAAAAAAGTTGGTCACGTGAGATATTTCGAAATTTCGCAGAATGCCATCAGAGTCATGTTCGGTTGAACCTTACGCTACAGGTTACTGCTTGCACTACTGTGGTGTGTGTGTGTGTGTGTGTGTGTGTGTGTGTGTGTGTGTGTGTGTAAGTGCCTGCCGCATCCTACTTTGTCATTTTTGGCCCAGTCTACCTATACGTATATACACTGGTCTTATGCAGCTCAACCAAGACCACGGCACCTTATATTATCAGCTGCATGCATGCAGGTATAAGTGCAGTGGGTGACACCAGTATCTTCCTTTTTCCCTGTCAGCCACAGAGAAGGTTCATATATGCTTCTCTCTGAGAGCAATTGAAGCTTGGGCCAGTTGGTGCTGCATATGTGATGGAATGAAGTGCTATGACGGCTCTCCTCAGCACACAAGACCAAGCCTCACCTCCTGTGTTCTCTGCTTTTGTTGTCCCGTTAATTGCGCTTCATTTGATCGAGTATGCTTATCCATATAACTGCCATCGTTTCGAGGGGCTTTTAGTGTTACACCCCTTTCGCATGGGTGTAGCTTCATCCAACACCCATAGTTTAGGGGTGTTCATAAACAGCTATTAAAGTAGGGTGTAACGTTTCTTCACAACCTACGGTTTCAGTGTGTTTCTCAACACCCAACTGTTTAGGGTGTTCCTTGACACCCTTAAAGGGTGTTGTCCAAGGGACAAAAATACTCTTAGGGGTGTAATTTTTTTATAGTGATGCATGCAGGCGTGACGCGACGAAAAAAACGCCGGCGCGCACGCGCGCCCTGTCACGTCGAATTGGATTGGCGCCTTGACTGTGGCATGTAGTAGTGTTGTGACATTACATGCATCTCATCATTATCATGTTTGCACCAGTCACATAATTTTGTCACTCATTGACGTCACTTAATACCAGACTTGGCGCATGTGAAGCTAGCGAAACGGCCGCGAGCACATCATGAGTGTGACATGCAGCCATGTTGTTACATGACACGCATGTCGTGATTATCATGTTTGGATGTGTGATCTACCGATGTCGTTGGTTCGCGTCACGTAATACCAAATTTCATACTTGCACTCTAAAACTTTTTACACCCATATGGGTGTATTTGTTTTTCCCATAGGCAACACCCTTTTAGGGTGTCTAGGAACACCCTGAACAATAAGATGTTTAGAAACACCCTGAAGCCATAGGGCGTAAAGAAACGTTACACACTACTTTATTAGGTGTTTCTGAACACCCCTAAACTATGAGTGTTGGATGACGCTACACCCATGCGAGTGGGGTGTACACTGAAAACCCCCTTGGAATGATGGCAGTTATATGGATGAGCATATTTGACCAAATGAAACGCAATTAACGGGCAACAAAAGCAAAGACACAGGAAGTGACGCTTAGACTTGTGTGTTGAGGAGAGCCGTTCACAGCACTTCATTCCATCAAATATGCATCACCAACTTGCCCAAGCCTCAATTGTTCTCAGGGAGAAGCATATATGAACCTTCTTTGCGGCTGACAGGGAAGAAGGAAGATACTGGTGTCACCCACTGCACTTATACCTGCATGCATGCAGCTGATAAAATAAGGTGCCATGGTCTTGAATGAGATGCATGAGACCAGTCTATATATGTGTACGTAGACTGGGCCGTAACACACACACACACACACACACACACACACACACACACACACACACACACACACACACACACACACACACACACACACACCCCACAGTAGTGCAAGCAGTAACCTGTAGCGTAAGGTCAAACCGAACATAACACCGAAGCAAAAAACAATTAAGCCCATATGTTAACATCTGCCTTTATTATGGAAAAACTGCAAATCTGACAAACAGGACTCTGATGGCATTCTGCAAAATTTTGAAATATGTCACAGGACCAAGTTTCTTTCTCTCTATATTAAAAATTCATTGTTTTCAATACAATAAACTCCAAAACTTTCAGAAACATTTGCGCTAGTCGGGCAAACGACTGAGACCTATGGCGTTTGATTGACACCTATACAATAAAAAAAAAACCCGTAGAAAGAGTAAGCGAGTTTATGGAGTCACATTTACAACCTATTACATCTCGCAGTATAAATTTCGACATTAAAAAAGAGAACATTCAACAAAGTAGAGTAATTGGGGTTGTATTAATGTAATGTCAGTGTTGGTATACTTCTAACTGCAAAACCACTCGTCACTGCTGCTTGCACAATCATCTTCAGCTGCTGAGATGAGTGGTGCCTTCGAGAGAAGTGGGGCGAAGCTGTTCTTTCTGTACAGGAAATTCAATCCCGGAAACCTAAAATAAATACACAAGAAACAATGATTGAAATTTCACAAAGAGTGCAACATACAGTGTGCACCCTGCACAACTAACTACTTTCTTATGTGTAAAAAGTATAAATTGAGTGCATAGCAATCATATTCAGTGGCATCGGGCCCCACCACAGTGAGAAATGCTAGAAAAGGTATGCTGAGCAATAAACGCCATAAAAAGCGCGCTGTGGCAGAGTCATTATACCTTTCGGGCCGTAGATATGAACCTCACTTTACCCTTTCAGCTTGATCGCGCAGGAAAATAAAAAGGTGCTGCTCGAAGTTGATAATGTTCCATTAGCTGCATGCAACGACCAATATAAATTAATGTCAAGTTCTATGCTTAAGTATGCATCAACACAGCTGCATGTGTATCTCTGCAGATCTACCACGGTACTCATTCGATTAGCTTATTAAAAGGAATACAGTACGACGCGCCACAACAAATACATATTTTATCTGTATTGCACAAAAGCACAATGCCACTGAGCATACATGACAGTATGCACATTGAGGAGGTATTCAGTGCAGGTAACTTGTAAAGTTAAGTACTGTACAGTTACGTAATAAAATGCGAATAATACTAGTGTTCTTGAACTGGCTCACATTGACACGATTATATATTGGAAGAACTGGCTATTGGGTCATTCCACATCAGACGTGCCAGCCATTTTAGCGACCTCCGCAAATGTATTCGCAAAAAAAAATCGCGCTGATTTTACTGCAATAAAAAAGGTAACTTCTAGAAAATTTCGCAGAAAAATAATATACTGGTCACGTGGCTGCCTCCTGAACTTCCCGGAATCTCGTTGGGATATTTGTGAAAAAACTATTTCATAAGTATGTCTTCTTCTCTTCTTCCGTGCCAAATTTTGTTTACAAGTTAAGTGACGGGTTTGCGTAGAGTGTTTGAAGCTCAGTAATAATATTACCATTTTTTGACCACATACGCCTCAAATAATTTAGCCGAAATGTGTTTTATCTGCATTCTTCTATATCATTACTGCACTTTGAATGAATATCTGAGGAGTGAATACTTAATCCAAGTAAGGTATCTTTGCAGGAAAAATATTTTAGACCTCTCAAGCTGTCAAACTTTACGAGAAAAAATCGCAAATCTCACAAAATTATTGTTTTGTCTATAATGAGACGCAACTTGCACCATGTGGTGGTTGAAATAAAATACACTTTGTACCTAAACCGAAGCAAATAAACCGTTCTTTCCATGTGCCAAATATTGTCATAGCAATTTATGTTTTGAGAAAAAGATCGCAGCATATCCACGGAGTGAAGGATGTTAAGTGGGGCGTAGCGTTCGTCCGTCCGGACGCACAAACAGATGGACAGACAGTCTGACACCAGTATGGACGAACAGAAAGACGGACCGACTCACGGACAGACCGACACACGGAAGCCCGGACGGATGAATGCAGAGACGAACGGGAAAAAGCACAAATGTACGGACGAATGCTTCGCCCCACGAATCATCATTTTGTCCGTGTATATGCTGTGAAAACCACTAACGCTATCTATTGTGCAACTCATCAAGTGGCTACATAATACTAGTAGACTACAGAGGAGGGAACCACCCACGGCCTTAAGAGCTTTGCCCCTATATGATTTTTGAAGCTCCAAGTTCACCATTTGCCATTTGGTCATACAGCAGCCGACACCTCGAAGTACCCCATTGCCGATGATGGGAAAATTCAAAAAATATTTTATTTCTTGATATAGAAATTGTAATGATGAAACTTGTTACATACAAAGAACTGTTTATTTGCCTTCAGTTTAGGTAAAAAGTGATCTTTAATTGGCCCACCACATGGTGAAAATTGCGTCTCAATACGGACAAAAATGACAATTTGGTGAAATGAGTGATCTTATCTGGTAGAGGTTAACAGCTTAAGCCACCGCAGCCACGACCACTCAATAGAGGTCGTGCTACAGATGACCTCGAAATATCGGGTGAAAGCTCTGCACATCTTTTTAAAAACGTGAAAAGTGTTTGCAGTTTAAAAAGCGGATCCCTACCGATGAGCATGCCAGGGTGTAGAGGGAGCTGTTGTCGGTAAGGCAGTAAAAAGTGCTTCTTTCTTAGAGCATCCAGCTCATTGCACTGGACGAGAATGTGGAGAACCGCAAGGGGCTCTACACATCTCTCGCAATATGGTGGATCACTGGTAGACAGAAGAAATGAATGTGTAGAATGTGTATGTCCTGTTCTAAGCCTTGTTAGTATTACTTCTGTGTGTCGTGATTTTGATAGTGACGGCCAATAACCTAGTTGTGGCTTAATAGCATGGAGTTTATTATCTGTGTGTTTATCCCA